CCCTAACAAAAAACCCACAAAATTGAGTGGCATAACACAATAAACATTTACTAAGCTCATGAGTCTATAAACTAGCTAGGCAGTTCTGGTCTGAGTCAAGCTCAGCTGGTCTCAGTAGCCTTACTCAAACCTATGTTTAGCTGGTGGGTCAGCTGAGGGCTGGCTGGTTTATAATAGCTTCGCCCTCATGTCTGATAGTCAGTCGAAGTGATGGAGGGGGGACAACAGGGTCATGTGTCTCCTCCTGCAGGAGGCTAGCCTGAGCCTCGTCACCTAATGGCTCAGTGCGCTTCTAACAGTGAGAGCAGAACCACATGAAGTCTTTTGGGGTCTAGGCTCAGAACTGCATGCTGTCACTCTGACATTCTATGGGACAAAGCAATCCCAAGGCCTCCCTAGATTCAGGGAGATAAAAAAATACACTCCACTCTTTCATGGGAGACACTGCTGAGGCCATGAGTACCAGGAGGGGTGAGACATTGCTATCATTGTGCAATTAATCTAGCATTCCCCCAGAACCTACAGCTTGAGTTACACAGAGTAGACACTCAATATTCAGTGACGATGTGAACCAGAATGTGGCAATGAGATGGGATAACACTGAACCCCAGCAGAAGGGTGATCAAGAACAAGTTCTGGTGTTTGGAGGAGAGATGTGAAGCTCAGGATGGAGGGGAGGCAGAATGAGGAGGGATCCAAATTGAAAGTCCATAGTCTCTAGAGTTTTCTGGTTGAAGCCGGATTTAAATCTACTAGGACAGAAGTTAGAAACACTCCATAAGCCTAGTAGAATTCATGAGGTTCAAATTGATTGCCAACAGTAAAAAATCAGGTCCTCAATGAAAATTTAAATTTCTGACTTCTCTTGAAAAATAAGAGTCCTGCAAAATTTAGCTAGAACTGGGTTTCTGCTGCCCCCTTATACAGAGCATGCCCTCCCCCCCACTCCTACTTATGTTCAAGACTTGCCTGGTCTCCCCAAACATCTGAGTTTGTGACCTGTAGGCTGGAAAAAACTCCTGATGGATGGGACTTTTTGGGAACAGAGCCAGATTTTGCCCTTCATATTTTCTTAATATGAATAAGAGTTCCATTTATAAGAAGGAAAAACAAATAAAAGGAAAGCTCTAACTTGAAATTTAATAATAAATGCAATTTTGTAATTAAGTTGTTAATAACTGAATAACTTTTTTAAAAGGGCAAAATATGGCACATAATATAAATTAAACAAAATTAATTTAGTTAATAAATTATTTAATTTATTAGTTTAGAATACAACATAATCTACCACTAACCCATGATAAAAGAAGAGTCCACTAAAACTGTGATTTAGCCACAACTGAGTCAGCAATTTAAAATTATTTTAAATAATTATTTAATTATTATTACTGTGATACTGTGATTTACAATAAGAAATATATATTTAGTCTTCATCCCAGTTCCTGGCACAGGGCTCCTAAAACCCTTGAAATTTCCTAAAGGATGAGCAACAAAGATGTCTTGGGTCATGTTAAAGAGGCAACTTTTCAAAAGCCCTAGATAACCTAAAGATAGGGGCTGATTGCCAGGGGAACCAACCTTGGGGTTAGAGGGTTGGACTTTTCAGTCCCAACCCCTAATCTCCAGGGAGAGGAGAGCAGGAGGCTGGGTCAATAACCGAGGACTAATGATATAATCAACCATGCCTATGCAATGAAGCCTCCATGAAAATCCAAAAGGATGGAGGTTGAAGACTTTCTGTGTTGGTGAACATGTGGAGGGAGATGCAGGGAGTATGGGTGCTCAGAGAACATGGTAGCTCTACACCCTTTCCCCATACTTTGCCCTGTGCATCTCTTCCACCTAGCTGTTCCTGAGTTACACACTTTTATACGAAACCAGTAATCTAGTAAGTAAAATGTTTGAGTTCTGTGAGCCACTCTAGCAAACTAATCAAAACTAGTGGTGGGGGAGGGGTTCATTGGAATTGCCAGTCTGTATCCAGTTAGTCAGAATCACAGGTGACTACCTGGACTTGAAACTGACCTCAGACATGAGGTGTGGGTGGGGACAGCCCCATAGGACTGAGCTCTCAACTTGTAGGGTCTGATGCTATCTCCAGGTAGATAATATCAGAATTGAGTTAAATTATTGGACACCCAGCTGGTAACTAGGGAATTGCTTTGTGGTATGCAGGGAAGACCTCACACATTAGAATTGGGTGCAGAATCATAATTATCAAAATTAGGTTATTTTAAGAATTAGATTATTAAAAAATTATTCAAAAATGTTCATTTAAGTATTTGACATTGTTTCACAGTTCACATTCTTTTTTGTATATAAATTCAAAAAAGAAACAGTACTATCAAGCATTCTGGGGTCTTGCCTACCAGGACCTAAGAGAAATTGACCACTAGGTCACATACAATGTATCTAATGCTGAAGGTACCCCACACTAACCTAAAGGAAAACAGAAATCTGCTGTTTCCTCAACACCAAGCCCTTTGCTTAGTCTTCCCTTCCTCATATGCCTTGGAAGCAAAACTTGAACAGCATGCCTTGCTGAATTAAAAATGAGACAAATGAATGACCTGTGTGGTAGTTAATGAGAACTGGTGAACACCAGGCTAAGATTTCACTTCTGTAAAAGCCCCCACTCCCTTCTAAATGGTTGGGAAAGAATTGGCCATTGTCATCTCCTCTGTGATGCTCCAATGGCTCACTTGTTCCTCACAGGGAGGGAGCAGCTGTGTGTGAAGTTGCCTTTGTTCCATTGTAGCAATGTCAATCTCAAAGCCCCATGAGTGCCCTTCTCATAGCATGCTTCCTCCTTGGCTTATTAGAATTCATATGCCAGCGCGACATAATCATAAATACCCTACATTTTATATTTGGGAAGAATAGTTGACTTTCAGTACTTAAGTCATTTTTATCAGACACTTTTTAAAAATGATTTTATTTATTTATTTGAGAGAGAGAGAGAGAGAGAGAAAGGATGAGAGTGGTATGAAGGACAGATGGAGAAGCAGACTCCCTACTGAGCAGGGAGCCCGATGCAGGACTGGATCCCGGGGTCTCTGAGACCATGACCTGAGCTGAAGGCAGACACCTAACTGACTGAGCCACCCAGGCGACCCTATCCGGCACTTTTTGATGTAGGGTGGGTTGGGGGGGGGAATATTGTTCAAACAGATCCTCAGTCCATCATCTGAGATTCTTAGGATCCTTGTCTTTTGAAATACATAATTTTTCTGATTTTAGAAAGTCATGTAATGCATATACTGCGAGCATAATACTCTAGGAGGGGGCTTGGTCATCCTCACAGTCAAACAAATTAATATGTCTACAGTACCGTGCATAGATATTCACATTCAGTGAAATATATAAGGATTATAAATAACTTCATATCAATTAATGTCTATGTGTTTACCCCAAATTTACCAAAAAAAGTTCTGGATTTCAGAACTTTGGGGGATTTTAGAATTGCAGACAAGAATTTCTCCAGCATAAAAGCACAAGCAAAGGGGTTGAACCAAAGAGGGTGTTCTCATGCTGCTGACATTGTCCAGAATGTGAGCAAGGAAAGGGGTCACAGCTCCAAGGAACACATGCCCTGAGCACTGTCTTAACCCTGGACTAAGCAGCATGATCCCGGGGTCCTGGAATTGCCCTGCATCGGGTTCTCTGCTCAGTGGGGAGTCTGCTTCCCCCACCCCTCTGCCTGCCTCTCTGCCTACTTGTGATCTCTCTCTCTCTCTCTCTCTCTGTGTGTGTGTCAAATAAATAAATAAAATCTTAAAAAAAGAAGAATAAAAATAAAATAAAATTCTGTGTTTCAATGGGGTCCATCACAGCAGAGCTTTCCAGCAGGCAGCACCCACCACTGGCTGCCCCTCACCCTGGCTACAGAAGACACCCAGCCTTCACTGGTTTTATGATTACGGCTTCCATTTAAGTCTGAAGAAACAGTTCTCTGACTTTTAAAAGTCTGGGCATTCTCCAGAGCATTAAACAGATAAATTAAAAGACAGTTTATGAGGTAGCTAAAGCAATATACAAGGCAAATAAAATTAGAATGAAAAGAAAAAGGAGGCAAAACAGAAGTTAAAGTTGGTTATAGGAGTATGTTCAGTTCATAAAAATGCATTGAGGGGCGCGTGGGTGGCACAGTCAGTTAAACACCTGACTCTTGTTCCCACTCAGGTCACGATGTCAAGGTGGTGAGATCCAGCCGTGACAGGCTCCACGCTCAGCAGGGAGTCTGCTGGAAAAGCTCTCCCTTTGCTCCTCACCTCGCCCTCTCTCTTCCTCTAAAATAATAAATAAATAAATCTTTTTTAAAAATGCATTGAGCTGGAGGCGCCTGGGTGGCTCAGTGGGTTAAGCTGCTGCCTTCGGCTCAGGTCATGATCTCAGGGTCCTGGGATCGAGTCCTGCATCGGGCTCTCTGCTCAGCAGGGAGCCTGCTTCCCTCTCTCTCTGCCTGCCTCTCTGTCTACTTGTGATCTCTCTCTGTCAAATAAATGACATCTTTAAAAAAAAAAATGCACTGAGCTTCTCTCTAGAAGTACTTGACTGCGCTTTATGAAGCCCACTTGTAGCTCCCCTGTCCTCTCCAGCCACCTCTACCCTCTCCCCAGCCTGATGCATGGCTGACCCTGGCACGCCCAGCTCTCAGTAGCTTCTAGTCCCTTCATTTAAGAACTTCGGATCGCAGCATATTACTTCTGTAAACTTTTTCAAAAGATTCGCCTCTGTGTCTGTGTGTGTGTGTATTTATACTGTTGCCTGTCTTTAGCCCTATTCTGCCCCACAGAACCTGAACTTGACCTTCAGCTGCAGACACATGATGTGTTCAACTACATTCTGTTTTACATCTTCTCCATAGGTACCCCGCGGATGGTATTTACATTAATTTATTCCTCCCCCATCTTTGCATGTCTCTTTCAAAGAGTTTCCACGCGGGTGGTTAGAGAAAACTAAATGACCTAAAACCATCCTCCTCTCTTGATGTCTCCCAGCTGCAGACAGACCTGGAGCAAGAATACCAAGACAAGTTCAAAAGACTGCCCCTGGAGATCTTGGAGTTCGTGCAGGAAGCCATGAAAGGGAAGATCAGTGAAGACAGCAACCACAGCTCTGCCCCTCCCTCCCTGGCCTCAGAGCCTGGAAAAATGAACCACAGGCCTCCCTCCAGTGACGAGCTGGAAGGAGACAACCCAGGAAAAGAGTTTGATACTCCTCTGTGATTGTTCCTGCCAGGCCTTCAAAGCATGCATGGCCCCTTCATCCGACTCTCTCTTACTACAAAAATCACTGCCCGGGGGCATCTTCCTGAGAAGCATTCTTTACCCTACAATCCACAACACAGGGAGAGTTCTAGAAGGATCCATGCCAACATCCTCATGCCCAGGCTCCATGCGTTATGTGGACACTACTGCAGGTCTGCTTGTGGAGAGTGCATGTATGTGGGATTTTTGTTTTCTTGCCAATAGTAAATTCAAAGCAGGCAACTTCCGGGCTCCATGGGACATTTAACGAAGGACAGTGTCTTTTTTGAAGAAAATCAAGCTCATGTTTTTATTTGAAGCTCTGGTGTAAAGTATTTCAAAGTAATAGGAATAGTTTGAGAAATGCGTAGCATTATTTAACACTATCGAACAGCCAACTTTGAGCATTCATTTTCCTAACTGCCCCTCAACTACCATCTCTTCAAGTTAACATGCATATTAAATTGTTTTATCCTTTGCTTTGCAAGCACTGGAGGCTTGCAGTTTGCTAATTTATTTATCATAGAGGCATCAATGTATCTGTTGCTGACATGGCTTTATTCAATACCATAGTGATTCGAATAAGTTTGGTCTTCTTTCTTGAAAAAAAGTCACTTGGTTGTATCCTTGCCCAGTGAAGCTATCCCAAGACTTAGCAATATGGCGCATACACTGGGTTGCTTGAGCAAACTGGCCACACACTTCCCAGGCACTGTGCTTTCCGAAGTGATTATTTGCACTCAAAGTCTGGGTATTCATTGGTGGTTGGCCTGAAATTATTAAATAACTACAGAGTCTGTCTGGTTGAATAAAAATGGTTAAGCTGATAGATGTTGAGCAGAGATTCAATCAGGGGGAACAGGTTCCAGTGGTTATTTTGCTGTCTCACATTTTTTATGATTCATTTATTTTTACTATAGAGATAAAGATTGAATATTTATCTAGAGAATACACAGACCCACATATAAATGATATATAGTATCTCCATGTATATATGTACACACACGGCCATGTAAGTACACACACACACACACACACAAGCACACGCACATACAAGTATAGATGCGTGTATTTTAATTGGCAGTGACCCAAGTCTCTTCCACAAGACTTAAACCCAAATTCGGGGTTAAATACCCAGAGAAGAAAATGGTCAAACATCTATCTATATTATGTAACTATTAAATTATGTTGAAAGTCTAAGAAACAGTTGATGGAACTGTTGATGCAAGTTGAGGTAGATTTAGAGCTTAGAATATGAATTTGATATATATTTTGCAGGATCAAAAACTGGATTTTAAGTATCAGATTTTAAGCTTGTTTTAATAGAATATATAAAAAATGTATAGGACAGCAATATGGAAATTTATTAGTATCTTTCATAATTTTTAAGTCTGACAGATTTTGACTTTATTCAAACATAAAAAATCTTTCATTATATATATACTATGTACATTTAATTCACTTAACTGTGTCTTTTTGTTAAGTTTCTATGTTGGTGGCATAAGAAAAACAAATTATATCATGGGAAAACTGATCAAAAATATTATTGAAGGAAATTAAGTAAGAGAGAATAATTATATAGAGGGAAATATAATTTAGAGAGTAACACAAGGAACATTGAAGTTAAAGCTCTGAAGAAAGATGCTCACAGCTTTATTTTCCTTTAAAATAAACCTGTCTGATTATAGCTTAGCGAAACTTTTTAAAATGCAAAAACCAGTTGTGTCCTGAAAATTGTGTTTCAAGAATTTAATATTTTTATGCAAATTATTTTATTTAACTTTAAGCAATAACTAGGGATCACAGTTAAGTTTTAATCAAAACGAAGACTTAGTTCAAACATGAGGCAAGAGTATTTGATTAAAAAAAAAACACATCTGGCAAGACACAAGGAGAAAAAATCCCATCCTCTTTGGAGATGATTATATTTTGATCTGAAGGATTTGGGGTATTAATTACACACTTAATAAAACTTATCTTCCACTGAAAGATAAATCTTTTGTAAATCATTCTACTTTTGCACTTTGAAAGAAAGGCATTAATCGTAAGGAAGCAAGAATGGGCACAATTGAAAGCTGCATTTTTATAAATAAAATTGTAGACTGTCTAACATTGCAGAAGAATGAACTAATAATAGCATTCATACCAAACACAATGATGATTATTACAGAACACTGTCTCACATTTTAGTCCAGATAGACAGAAGTGGAAAGACCTTGACTTACATAAAACTGTTTGGGTAGTGGGATTGCATTCTCTTCGTGACTCTAGTCATTTTGCAATACATTTGTATCTGGCCATTTACTGTAATCACATTTTTATATCTGTACAATGACACTTTTTGCAGTTGTGGGGTAGTGTGGAACACTGTCCATCTTGCCTCATTGAAACTACTACAGCGATACTATCATTTAACAATATTAATATTACTTGAAATAGAGTAAGATAAAGAAAAAGGGTCTATATGATGTGCAGTTTTGTGCCTTTATGTATTTTCCTTGTTCTGTGTTGAATGTGTAAAATTCTGTACTGTGGTTTCTCCTGTAATAGAGCGTTAGAGCTGTGTAGTAAATTAGACCGTGCCCCTCTGATACCCTTACACTACTGAGAATAGCGTGGTTTTGGCCGTGAAAACCAATTTTCAAAATTCTGATGACATGCCTTGTGTTTTTGGTTTCCAGCGTTTCATTTGAACATTTCCACATCGCCGTACATTCATTCATTAATGCTCCTGTAATAGATAAGCGGTCATTCAATCATTCCGAAAGAAAGGGCCATTGCTTGCGTTACTTTGAATTTAATGTTGCGCGTGTGCACTGTATAAATATTCTTTGTGATGGATTGGACATTGTGACTTTTGCCTTTTCAGAAGAAAAATAAAAGATAGGACAAAGTATTTGAAACTCTTAAAGTGTACATATTTTGTTCCTCTATCTCAAATTATTTAAAATGCGTAATTCACATTTTTGTAATAATTCTATGCAATTTTGTGGCATGATGTTTCTTCCACTTGTAATTTTATGTGCTTTCATCACAAATCCAAAGGAAACAATAAAAATTTCTTAACACAACCCAGGTGTGTCATTTCTTGCTGTCAGAGCAAACTTTTTTCTTTCTTCCTTTTTTTGTTTTTGATGGGCGGGATGGTGGGAGTGCTTTTTGCACCAGTCATTAGGGACAGAAGGCCCGCCCTGATGCAGCCCATCTGTGTCTGTACAGGAGCTTGGGATGCTGCAATGTATGTGCCAGAGGGCACCACTGTCATTACTTTATCGATCTACCATCCTGTCCAGGAATGACCGAGCACCTGTCCATAACTTCCGTTTTAGAGACCATCCCTCCCTTCCTTCACCAAAGCTAAGGAAAGCAGAACAGTCAAAAGTTTGCTAACAGGGGTGCCTGGGTGGCTCAGTGGGTTAAAGCCTCTGCCTTCGGCTCAGGTCATGATCTCAGGGTCCTGGGATCAAGCCCTGCATCAGGCTCTATGCTCAGCAGGGAGCCCGCTTCCTCCCCTCTTTCTCTCTGCCTACTTGTAATCTGTCTGTCAAATAAATAAAATCTTAAAAAAAAAAAAAGTTTGCTAACAAATAGTGGAGATGAACTGACAGAGTACTTGTTATAACTTTTTCTTATGAAACATAAAGAGTTTGCAACACTGATTCTTTATTTTTAGAGGCGAGTGGCAGGAGGAGAGAGAGAATGTTAAACAGGCTACTTGCCCAGCACAGGGCTTGATCTCATGACCCTGAGATCATGACCAGAGCTGAAATGAAGAGTTGGATGCTTAACTTACAGAGCCTCCCAAGCCCCCCACAACATTAATTTTTTTTTAAAGATTTTATTTATTTATTTGACAGAGAGAGATCACAAGTAGACGGAGAGGCAGGCAGAGAGAGAGAGAGAGAGGGAAGCAGGCTCCCCGCTGAGCAGAGAGCCCGATGCGGGACTCGATCCCAGGACCCTGAGATCATGACCTGAGCCAAAGGCAGCGGCTTAACCCACTGAGCCACCCAGGCGCACCAACATTAATTTTTTTTTAAAAGAAGGAATATACGTGTGAGTTATGAGAATGTGCCATAGGCACCCTGTATATAGTATATCCGTGACCTGCTGCTATATTACACATTAGTCCAAAACCCAGTTGCTTAAAATGATAAGAATTATCTCTTATCTCTCATAGTTTTGTAGGTCAAGAATTCAGACAGGACAGAGCAGAGATGACGTGTCTCTACTCCATAGTATCCAGGACCTCGACTGGAAGATTACAAGGCTGGGGGCTGGAATCCTCTGAAGATGAATTTATTCACATGTTTGGTCGTTGATGATATGTCGGCAGAGAGACTGGCTGGGTAGCTGGGCTGAAACACCCACATATGTCCTCCCCACATGGCCTAGGCTTTCCCACAATATGGTGGCGGGATTCCAAAGGCGAGTCTCCTGAGAGAAAGCCAGGTAGGAGCTGTCTCCAAATTTTTGTGACCAAGCCTCAAAGTTACATACTATCACTTATCTGGGACCCCAATCATTGGTGCTTTCACAAGCCCCTTCCCAGAGGCAAGAGGAAGGAACAAACATGGACCCCATCTCATCGTGGCCGTGGCTCACACCCAAGAGCATGAGTGGAACAAACATGCAGGTGTGGCCTTCTTTGGAAAATATGACCTGCCTCACACAGTGTGCCCCGACTGAATGTGTAGTTACACTCAAACCTGCTCCACCTCTTTTGTGTTCTAGATCAGTGAGCAAAATCAGTATCAATTCAGTCACCCAAACCAAAATGTCATTATCTTTGACAGCTCTCTCATCCCCCTTCCAGGGAATCACGGGTTGGGTCAATTCTGACCCTATGACAGCCCTCAGATTCATTGACTTTCTGTCCTTTCTGCTCGTCCCTAAACTCAGGCCACCACCCTCTCCCTCCTGCCAAGATTTTTGTAAATGGTCTCCAATCCACTTGTCCCAAATATTGCAACCATACT